AGATGAGTCAGCTGCTTGCAATTTTTCAGTTCAGGATAAAAAAAAAAAATAAAAAAATAAACGGAGGAATTACACTGTACCGCCAGTAGCAATGGAGACAGGCCAAGTATGAGGCAGGAGCCCTCCTACATATAGTCTACTCTATACGGTGCATGTGCTTTCTCTTGACGTCTCTGCACCAATTTGTGAATGTCATTTCCTTTATATTCCTTCTATAGACGCAACACAAACGTTGAAGGAATGCAAGTCTATTCATTTCTTCAACAGAACATAGTAGAACCACAAAGGTCAAATGCAATCTGTTCCAGGACACACAAAAGAAATATAGTCAGATGGAAAAATGTAATTATTGTATATTAGTAGAATTAAGGAGTTGTGAGGCCCAGTTGTCACCATTATGTAACTTATTAAATGGATGGGCTTTTTTTTGGGGGGGGGGCGGGGGGGTCAAATACCCCACGAATGTTGAATACAGCACATTTTTCACTCAGCCTGTTTTGGAGGGGCTGTACTCTGTGATGCGAGTGACTGTCCTGCCCCATGTACCGCTGGGCCAGTTACGAGTCGAGATTTAATCACCATGATGACCAGATGTGCCGCAAAGGGATTGAATGAGGCAGGCAAACAGCTTCCATTTGCCAAAGCGGAGACCCGAGTGTTGAAATTAAGCGAGCGTTTGTAAAGACAATAGAAACGTTTACACTTGTAGAGTCCGCATTTCATCGCAATTTTTACAATTGTCACTAATTGTACAGCTATTTGCATTTGACCACATTGCCAAACACCACCACCCCCACATTACCAACCCATGGACAATTTCATTTGTAGTGGTTATCGCTAATGCTAATCCGTGCCACCAACGAAACTCAATACTGCTCTTCCTCGTGTTTGCCTTTGACTTAGTGTTTCAGACAGTGTCATCCACTTGAGAGCGAGAGTAGATCTTCGTCCGGCATATATATATATATATATATATATATGTACCCCCAAAAATCAAACACTTACAATGAAGCCCTCCTATGAAGTTGATTCACGCGACAGATAAGCCTTGTGTATCTCACTTTTTAACCACTATGCTATTGGAACCTTAGTGCAGTCCGCTCACATCAAGTAACTTCCGGTGAATATTCTTATTCTCAGTTTCCCTCAAAGTCTTCACTTAATACTGCTGACCGAAACAATTTTTGGGAGTTGAAACTGCCATCCCACGAGCTGTCAGCACACCTCCTTTCAGCATGTATCAAAGGATTATTTCTGCCTTTTCTTTGGCTTATTGTGGGTTGTTTTTTTTTCCGAAAAGAACGACAGTTGAATATCTACAGGAAGTTAAGATGAAAGCCACGTACTGTACTTTTCCCCCACAGTAGTTGAAGATGATCGCCAATAAACTGTGTGGCTGACTGAGCAGAAATGAAAATGTGTGTGTTCTTCAACTGGTTCTATTTTGTTTGGTTCATACTCGTTTTGTTTCCATTGACGTTAAAACTTTTCTGGAAACTAATTTGGGCTTTCTGAGACACGTGTCATGAAACCTTTGGTGCTGCTAACGATTACGAGTGCTGAGTGCAGTGCATGCTAGCTACGAGCTAGCTACATTCTAGCTGACATGTTAGCTGCCGTATAAATGTACTATTAATTAATTAATTTTTAAATGAGAGCATGAAGCGGTGTGTGTGACGTTTCAATTTTTTACATGCCACGAGTTCATGGAAAATCGGCTGGCATAGACTGCAGCGCAGCTGCAACACTAAAAAGCGTTAAGTGGTATTGAAATTGGATGTGTGAATGTATGATGCGATACTGGTTAACTACTGCTCAAGCAAGTTTGGAAATTAATTATGTAGAAATGATACTTCGAGCTTTTATGATGGTGACTGTTTCGGTTTGGACTCAGGAACAAATGATTCGAATGAATATTGATCACAAGAGGATATGCTTGCTTTGAACGACCCAACTCAACTCTATTTATCGAGCACTTTAAAACAACTACCGCTGTATACAAAGTGCTGTACATGGAGCAAAAATAATTCGTACAACAACAAACAAACAATAAATGAATAACGAAGACAGTAAATAGCACCAAGCACCGTGAAAAGAAAATAAAGCCGAAGCACTGATGTTTGATGAGCATCGCAATACTAATTTTGGTCAATTGAAAGGTAACACAGTAATCCAAATTCAGACCAGTATGCTGAATTTTATCCATCACTGACAAATTCACCTTCCCCACCATTTAATACGAGCCAGTCCCCTACAAGCTTTTGCGGAAATAAATTGTGTCGGCAGCCTGTGTGGTTCAGTTAATAAGTCTTTCCTCTTCCAACCCCTCAAGCCATACTTTTACAAAGTAAAGGGAACAACATATTTTCTAAGAATTGTAAAATGTTACTTTTTAAAACTCTTTGCTGTCAAAGTTTTTGGATGATATGAATAAGATAATAAGACATTTTGTTGGACTCCGAAGCTATTAAACATGGTTGAAATTGCTCTCAATGTGTGACGTACTCCTGAATTTGCCTTACTTTTGTATTTTATTTGGGTTTTCTGTGCACCGCCTTTGTTAGCCTAATAGAGTAGGTAGAGCTCACACAATAATAAAGTGGAAGCAAACGACACAAATCCAAATGATCAGTTGGAACACGCGAGCATTTTTCAAGCAAATTAACCATGTATTCTATTTCATGCGCCATAGGAGGCTGACTTCGTTATGTTTTTGCTCAACATATTTGTGTTTCTTACACGGTGGAGCTCTTTCGTTTGTGCTGCTGTGTAATTGCAATTTGTCCACAACACAATAAAAAGCAAAAAGGTCAGAGAACAAAAATAGGCACTGTGAGATAACATGGCTCCTAATAAAATACGAGATTATTAGGCTGCTCGCTGTGACATGCTGATTATTCATGGTATGTATAAGGCTATCCGGACTGCTCTGAACTCTGTGACCTGCTTAATCAGGTCCAGAGCAAGCCAACGCTCTGGACCTGATGCAAATTAGTCCACTGCCACAAGGCACCCACCAACATTTCGGTTCAAAGCGAGCTTGCGCTACTAGACTGAGATGATGATGATGATATCAGCGCTCATGTTTTTGCCATTTTACTCTTGTTTCCAGGGCATTGTTAACATGGAAAAACAGAGCTCTGCGTGACTTTTGTACTTAATGGCTAAAGAAATTTTTTTAAAATATTTTATATATATATCTACTATATACTGTATGTGTGTGTGTGTGTGTATTACATTGTTCTGTCCGGTATCTGGGATTTATTTAAATCGAAATGGCATTGCTTATTAAGGAAATGATAACAAAGGTGGCATTTATTTAAAAAATAAAAAATAAATTAAAACAAAATTATAGATAGTTCAACTGTTTGACCAGATTGCTGGTTAGAGTAGATTCTGGATTTTTACTAAAATATATTGTAGGATGCAAGTGGTATTTACTGTATCTACATGTAGTAATTTTTTTGATTAAAAAAGAATAAACACGCAGTTGTCACATGGATCTTGAAAATGTGGCGTAAAAGATAAAAAAAACAACAACAAAATCTTCAATTTGTTAGTCTGTAACGATGCAAACCTACCGGTCATCACACCGCTTTCCATTTTCAAGTCTGATTTACATTGAGTTTTGAAAGGCTTTGAAATTCTTTGCTGCCATTGCCTTGACCTTCAAAGATTCAAATCAGCTGATGGTGGAGAGCCTGAAAATAAGGCTAAGCAAGGAGATGCACTGGGGCTCTGGTCGGATATGGAATTTTAGTAAGGGGCACTTCAGCTCCATAAAATCCATAATGTGCAAAGAAAAAGGTTTCGCCACTGCTGCCCATTTGGGCTCCTGTGAAAAGTTAAGGAGTTGCTTGACCCCAAACAAGGCTGCAGTCAATGTTAACGTATGACAAATTCAATTAAATGCTTCAAAAGAAGGGCTTTGAACTTCGTTCCCCGTCCCACCTGCCCAAAAACACCCCAAATTGGCACACGTTCTTAAGATAAGTCTGCGTGTCAATATTTAATCACATCCAGAAAAAAAAAAAAAAAAAAAAATCAAAGCTTGAATTTTCATTCCCATAATGAACAGAAACTCACAACATATTGTGGGCGAATGTGTGTGTGTGCGCGTGTTTTGGAGATCTTTTCTCACGGCTCAACAATGCGTCGTCTTGAACGACAGATGAAAAAGGCGGAGACGATCAATATTGTTGGCTTGCATGCTGTCAGACAAAAAAACAAAACAAAACAAAAAAAACCCAGGGGAATAAATACAGTGCAAACAATCTTTTTCTGTGCTTGTGTCCACTTATAAATTAGTGTCGGGTATGGCTTGTGTTCAGCTTAAATTATGTACACTTTCCTTCTCCTAGCACGCTTGAAAGAGGTAAGCCATGGCCAAGCACAATTGTATTTGCATGCGCAGTGGAAACTTATTCCGGCAATTACTCGAATGCGATGGTTCCTTGCTATTCTGACAAAAAACACGCAAGCTAGGTTGAGATTTAAGACTCTACACCAGGGGTGTCAAACTCATTTTTGCCATCTGGCCACATTTTGGTTACCGTTTCCCTTGGAGGGCCGTAATGACTGAAACCACATAAAAAAAATCAATAATAATGGTTTTTTCAACTATTGTTTAAGTTACTGTAATGATGGGGTTTGGTCACTAGAAAATGCTTATCTTTTATTTATTACATATGCGAATTTAAAATTTTGGTTGAGATTTTAGCACGCATCATGGAAGTTGACATGTTTGATGTGCTTTCGCGGGCCACCTAAAATGATGTGGCGGGCCAGATCTGGCCCCCGGGCCTTGAGTTTGACACGTGCTCAACACAATTTCAAGCGTTACGGACCGTTTCGAAGTTGAGTGACGAGGGGAAATTCAATTTCCACTCTGCTGTCAATGTATTTGTGGCAAATGACCAAGAAATCACATTTGCTGTGCACTCAACTGTCGTACCAAGCGAATGCTAAGCTAATGTTTATTATTGTGTCCTTGTCCACAGAGGGTGCTCAGATCAACAACGTGGGGCCTGTGTCAAACGTGGTCCAACAGCACCCGTATCCCGCCCTCAGCCAGTTGGCTCATGTCTATGAACATCAGCAGCAGCAGCAACAGCAGCAGCAACAGCAACAGCAACAGCAACAACAACAACAGCAACAGCAACAGCAACAGCAGCAACAGCAACAGCAACAGCAACAGCAGCAACAGCAGCTACGGCAACTACACATGCAGCAGCAAAACAAGGATTTCAACAAATATGCCTCCTTGAAGGCTGTGGGTGAGTGCCAATCACTGTAACACCTTTTTTTTCCTTCTTATCATTCCAAAGGTTTGTTTTGTCACGGTTTTATCAGGCAACATTGTCGCTGTAGTGTTAACGGTCCTCCAAGATGTTGTTTGCTTGGGGATCATCATCTGTCATACTGAATTCCCGGTTGGCAATCTTTGATAGAACGGGCAGATGTTGTCTTTGAAAAAAAAAAAAAAAAAGGCCCGCGTTATCATTTCAATCAAGATTCCGATACGTTTCGGGACCCTGACCTCGATGGCCAGGGGTGGGCGAGCGGGAACAACGTGAACAAGATGTAGCAGATTCGCGCACAGATTATGACAGATGTTATTGATTGTGGCACCAAAGCTGACACGCTGTAAGACAGAAAGAGGCTGTTTATCAAGCTGTGTGACAGCTTCACACGCGCCACCAAATTCACAGCGCTAGCATACCAATTGGTAGCGGATTCGAATTCTGTTTGCCCGGCACGTTATTGGTTTGCCTTTGTTTGAAAGTTTTTTGATGCTACTTGGCGCAACAACACTTTATTCAGCTCATACACAGCGTCACTCTTAAAATAAAAAATAAATAGTGATCAACAAGTAAGCAAATATTTGGAAGATGTGAGACTGAAGTCCAGTCGAAACCTTCCACTGATGGGGATTCATTCAGACAGCAAAAGTTTGACTGCAACCTGACGTAAATCAGATCCAAGTTTTCATATGCCGTCAAGCAGATCTTTTATCCATTTTGACATTCAGATCTTCTCTCCGCCATTTGTCTGTCCTTTTCCTGACTTTCTCCACCTTCCACCGACTGCTCCGTCTCGCTCTCTCTCACCTTTTCTCCCACTCTCATCCCCTCACCTGGTTTGACCGCTTTTCAGCCTTATTCTTATTCTAATCACTCACTTATCTTGAAAGTGAGGCAATGGCTTTAAATCGCATTAAGAAGCCTGAGCCGTTGTTTCATTAGAAATAATGATGTCGTACAATGTATTATCTGACACTGCTGGAACTGGTTGGAGTTAGCAAAATTTAGCTTTGGCTTTCGACTCTGCATTTCACCTGCGTTTGTTTTTGCAAGTCAGATTTTTACTCCATGTGCAGCACTTTGTATGCGGTGGTGGTTGTTTTTTTTTTTTTTTTTCCCCCAGCGCTCTATTGATAAAGTTGAGTATACATTATGATTTTGATATGCGCGTTTTGCTTTACAACACCACATACAGTCTGCTATTCACATTTGACAAGAACACCTGCCGGGCAGCCTCGCAGTCAAACAGTCCTGCAAGCTCGAGCCCCTCCCACTGCATTATTACTCTCTCCTTGTAACTTTCATTTCCTCTCACCTTTCCCAACTGCCCTTTACCACCCACCATTCCTTCGTCTCCTTTTCAGTATATTAGCTTTATCATCTGCATCGCACCCTCTCCCCTCGATTCTTCTCTTCCCTAATCTTTCTTCCCCTGCTTTTATCTCTCTCTCTCTCTCTCTCTCTTCTCCCCCACCCTTTTCCGTTACCCCCACCATCTCCAATCCACCGCTGTGCCCGCCCTTCAATCCATCATGATCCGTATCACCGCTTGAAGAATCATCAGGCAGCTAATCTCCAGCCTTGCTTCTTTATAGTGGTTCATATCTGTTTCTACGCCTGCAATGGCAGCGCGATGCCTGTCTACCATCACCTGAGTTACAATTGTTTGACAGAGTTGCGCTTGACAGGTGGAATTCAAAAGAGGTTCCTGTGGAGAAACCGGGAAGCTGATTCTATTTGGCAAAGTGAATCTGGATACACTCGGCGGAACGGGCTGGGAGAAAGGGGGTGGGGTTATGAGATGTCACTGGTTGAGCATATCTTGAGCAAAATGACGGAGTCTTATTTACCTCTGGTATTGTCAATGCTTGTTCTCTCCGAAAGAAAAGCATCAATTTCTAAGATCACAGCAGCAAAACACCCCAAATCATCCCCTTTTTCTTTAATTGTTTCTGCCATTTTGCCAGTTGTACAGCTGATCAGCAGCACTCTTGTCAATCAATAGTCATCTCACTTCCTCCCCCTTTGTATCTCTATAAGGCTGCTTCATTGAATCCTGAACAGCATCAGGCTTGGTAAAAAACACACAGGCACAGGCGCGCGCGCGCGCGCGCGCGCACGCGCACACACACACACACACACACACACACACACACACACACACACACACACACACACACTGAACTACAAAAGGTAGCTGGCTTGATGGAGTAAGGTGCCCCCTGCAAGTACTAATCACCAATTATGTACTTTCAAATCTTGATGCATCCGCTCGAGCGGCCGCCTTCAAGCCCATCAAGCCTTACACACCGACTCGTGGTGCAATGTCAGATTTTAATTTTTTTTTTTTTTTTTTTAACATTATCCAGAGAGCAAAGCGGCTGTAATTAAAAGTCTGAGCATTTGTTTATTCCGGATGCACTACAACTCTCCTTGGCGTTTTACTAATCAAAACAGGATTAACATCGTGTCACAAATAAGTCTTTTTTTTTCTTTTTTCCTCTCTCCAGATATAATGTCCACTAATGCTTCCTGTGGGGCTAATTACTCGACAACAAGAAAGCCATAGCTGTTCAATGGCCCAAGTCCGATATTCAAAAGGCAGGATCTCAGAGGGTTCTTGACAGGATGACAATTAACACACACATGACTTCATGAGGGGAAACAATTCCGACAGACAAAAACAAAACAAAATATTACAGGATGTCCTCGAGGTTACAAATGGTGCGCAATGAACTAGTTTATGCAGCAGCACGAGAAGATATCAGCATGGAAAAGCCATGCTCGGTGATTGACAGACATGGGTTATTTTTTTTCTCCATTTGTTTTTAAAGGGGATCTAGTGAGAGACTATGGCGACGATGGGTTACATTGCAAACCAGATGACACCTTGTGAACTTATTGGATAACTTGTAGTGCCAGTCAGCAAATTCAAAATATTTATTTCGAACGTGAAGAGTGAAATCCGAACAAAAATCCCCCCCCCCAAAAAAAAAGAAAATAAAAAACAGGTCAACTGCACATGTTCAAGACAGAGTCTAGGAAGAAGGCCTTCTGAAATAGTGAGGCAGGCTGCACGAGGGTGTGCGGTGCGATGCCAGTGGGGAACATGTCTTTAAAGTTTTTTTTGTCGTAAGTTGACCTATATTTCTTTACTTTCTTCAGTTTTAATAAGGATACAATGTTTTGCAGCGGTGCACTCATACCGATTGGAAAGTCAGCTCAGAAAAACAGCCAGTTTGACAAAAAAAAAAAAATTTGATGTGCAATTCTATCGTGACAGGACGCGTAAACAGGATCCATGCTGAGAACCGAACAGGAAATCGGCCATTCAGGCTCATTCCACAGCTCATCCAAAACGAGTGCCAATCCGAAGCAGGTATCCTTTACAAATGGATGGCGCAACATTGCCAAATGTTTTCTCCATTTGGCCTTGCATGGCATCTGAGTTGGATGATCATTTTGGGGAATTGGCCATGAAAGAGAGGGTGCGAATAACCGTTTATCACTGCTTGCAGCTGTCATTTTTCAAATTATCGACGCTGATGTCAACAGTGGGGTTATTCATCTTTTTTTTTTTGCCCCTCCCTAATGCATATTGTTTGAGTCTCAGCACGACACCGACCTTTTATGGACAGAGGCATGTTGTACCCGCTGTGCGGAACGGCGACATATTCTGTTTCCTATCATGTACACCCCTGGATGTGTGCACCGTTGCGCTGACTGCCGCCCAATTGATTCACCTGTCGTCTGAGCAAGTTTGATCCCCCTGCGGGCAGCCATTCGAGCAGCGTCTCAGTGGGTGAGAGTGAGACACTGCCCCCCCCCCCCATTTCCCGATTCTCACCCGCTAACCTCTCCATCGCTTCACAGGACCGCTCGCTTGTCTCTCCTCCACTCTCACCGTGATAAAGTCGATTTATAGCTGCAGTAGTCGTGAAAACTCGCCGAGTGGGTTAACTTTATCTCCAAGGGTACAGAGGCAACAAGGGCGGAAGAGTAATGACTGCACTGTGAACGTGGATACGATAGAAAACATTTCATACTGATAAGACACACTAGCTCAGCAACGGTGACCGAAAGAGAGGAGTAAACGTGGAGCATGAAAGCAAGAGCTGTAAATGGAACTTCATAATACCGAGACAGACTTAATCCTCATTTGGATCGGCACCAAAAACTTTATGACTTCTACTTGGTACCTGCCCGCCTCCTGCGTTCACACGATTGTTCTCAGTAAGACTCGTGCATTATTTACTGGCAAAAATTAAGAGCGAAAATGCCCTCTCTTGTATTGTTAGCAAAAGTGAAATTGCGCAGATGCAGCTTTTACGTGGAAATAAACTCAAATGTAATAGCCACCTGGTTGCCACACCCTTCCTATGGTAGCAATTTAACCCTAAGTCAGAATGCGCTAGTTATGAGTCCATTGCGAATACTGTAAAGAATAGTCAAGTCATAATTATAGCGAACATTTTTGGCAAGACGGTGGTAAATGAGAGCAACGCTTCCTGTGCCGTGTGATGATATTTTCTTATCTGCGCAAAAATATCTCATTGTGCATTGTTCTTCACCCCGAAATATGTATTAAAAAAATGTTGGGACGATCATAAAATTCATTTATTTTATTGAAACCTCGAAGCCTGTCTGTTTAACGGTCAAGCGTGCTGTGTTCAAATCTTGGCTAGGGCCTTGAATTTGTGTGTGGCTAGACTGGTAGTCATTTGTTTGGTTTGGAAAAATATACAGGAACTATATTTAACTTTTATGGCAATATGGTAAGTCCACGATGGGGTCGACAAGATGTATTATGTGTATACTCAGTAGCCGGAAAACAGAAAGACATTTGACAACGAGGAGGACACAAAGAAAAACAAAGCCATAATGCATTGCAAAAATCTTCAAGGGCTCGATCTGAAACAACAAACAAGGTGCACACTGGCATGTTATTCCACACCTTCCGCAAAGAGCATACATAAGGAAGATGCATATGTACAGAGACCTTCCGGGATGAGGAGTGCTTTACAGTTAGAAATGGGACACGCCATACAGGTGACATTAAAAACCAACGCCGTGCCGAGCATTTTTAACAAGCCAGAAGGTGGAAGCTCAGCTGATCTGCCCGAGGGAGGATCTGTGCTTCCACTCTAAGCCCTGCTGATGCTTGTGGGGCATTCTCTCTAAAATGCAAGGGGAGTATGCCAGCACTGGGAAATTAAGCCGCTGAGACAGCAGACCAAAACAGCACACTTTTGATCATGCACACAAAGCAGCGCAAATTAATTTGAGGATTGCCCCTGTGTATGTTGCTCGCCAATGAGCAACCGCGTCTGCGGCACCTCCTGATCCACTCGTTCTCCAACGTGTATTTCGTTGCCATCAAAAGACCATCCAGCGCCGCATCTTTCACATCAGAAGTGGAATCTCATTCTCACTTGGGAGACTTACTTCATACTATTGGGTAGAAGCAATATGGCTTCATTCTTTCAGGATTGACGGCTGCTGTATTCCATTTGGCGTAGCAGTGTGTGTGTGTGTGTGTGTAGTCTAGTTTACAGATGTGAAGGTTAACTAGTGACTGGTTCAGTAAACATGGCAGCAAGCTGTATTAGCGACTAATTAGGATATACGGTACCGCGAATGAATGATGATTTTACAAACTGTTTTGTGCTGTGTACAGTTAACTGAATTAAAATTCATACAATAAAAAAAAATAACTTTTCAACTTTTGATGGAGTAGGAGAGTATCCCTAATTTGTCCGATTGTTTTGTCTCCATCTCCTGACAGCCGCCAAATACAACGGTGATCTGTACAACAAGCGCAGGCTGATGGTGGAGCTACCGACAAAAGGCGGTCTTCCGCTCCAACCCATGGGCAATTCCCGACCTTCCATGGCCAGCATGTCATCGATGACCACCAACCAGATTGCTTCGAACCCCATGGCTTCCCACTCCATGAACCATATGTCCTCCATGACTGCTATGACATCGATGACACCCATGACTGCAATGACGCCCATGACCTCCCTTGCCCCGATGACTTCTATGACTCCGATGACCTCATTGGGGCCACTGACCCCAGAGCCAGTGGCAACCTATGTTACCGAGATGCCCAGAATCTCCTCCGTGTCAACCCTCCCAACAGACCGACGCAGCATTGGAGTCACGTCGTTAAAGCCAAATGGCCAGAAACCTAAGAGCAACCACGGCCACGTCGCCCACGGCTCCCACAGTGCCCTCACTCACCTTCACAGCCACAGTAGCAAGCCTCTAGGACTGGGGACTACCTCCTTGGCACACATGGGGGGTACTATGCCAGGGGGCACATCCCTCGGAATATCCAGGGTCGCCGAGACCCCCATCGGATCCAGCTTTGCAACGATGGGTCGACCGTTGGCGTACAGTTCTAATACCATCTCGTCTGGGCATACAGTGGGTATGGGGTTAAGGGGCTGGGATGGGACAGAGACAGTGGGCCGAAGGAAGACCTACGGGCACAAGAGGCCTCAGTGTACGGTGCTGGAGCCCAACCAGCTTCACGGTTCCAGAGGCCACAGCCACAGCCAACATTTCCTTCCCACACAGCCCTACTTTGTGACCAACAGCAAGACAGAAGTGACTGTGTGAGCAAGGATATGAGGATCAAGTGTAAAGAATGCATGTGAAAGTAATTTCCGAGAAGAGACACCGTCACCAGAGTCGGCCAAGAGCTGCGGGTCTGTTTGTTTGTGTCATGAAGCTAAAGGTTGTTGGCACTGGTAAAAGATTTCTACACGTTTGTGATGCGATAGTGACATCAAGTCCGGTCGGTCACTTTTTCCCATATAAAGAGTCCATTCCTGAGATCACTGAATGGACGGCTGATGTCTGTCAAACGTTAGTGGTTAAGTTGGTGACATCGGCAACCGTAACAGTAACAATGAAGCGTATCTTTCAAGTTGTATCTTACAGCTAAACAAGCCTTGCACAGGAAACGGAATCCTGCCAAGGAAGCAATACAAGGGATCCGATGACGACACTCGGACCGTTGCCACGTTACGAGTGTCACAGTGTCTGTTACACAAACACGGTTGAATTCAACAACATTCCAGTGTCTCGCCACGAGAATCTCTCGACAGGTTCAGAACTGACATGAGAAAGGGCTCTGGGCTTTGGACTGTATTCAGAGCAGGTTTTGTATTGAGGCCGTTTAGAAGCCTCTTCGTAAGCTTCGCAGCTGAAGGTCACCCTTCTCAAACAAAGCTCCAGCTCGGATCATGTTGGGATCAAGGAGTAGGTTGCCATTCAGCCCTCATCTGCATGTGGACGGCTAGCCCAGAGGTGGGACAGTCAAAGCAGTCATCTGGATGCTGCTGCAGCATCTTTCTTCCATAATCACACTCAAGTGCACATACAAGGATTCACAAACACATGAAGGTATAAGACCGGGGCCAACAGCGAGCATACTGTAGAAATGTCAGTCACTTGGCTTTTAGAACTCCTTTACTGCTTTGTTTCGTTTGTTTGCTTATGTGATCTGTATATCTTTGTTACATATTGAATTAAATCTCAAGTGGAATGAAGTACCAAGTTTATTCGAAGTGGTCAGAATGGGGCCTTCACTAAACTCGGACTGGACATAATTTTGCAGTATCTATTCTCTGAACGATTTCAAGAGATACTATAACCCTCCCTTTCAAAATAAAATATCTCTAACTCCATACTTTAGCGAGACAAAGAGTCAAGATAATTAGTCAGGAAATAGTTGGGGGTTCTTTTTAATTTTTTTTTTTTGTGGAATGATTGAGGAAACCCAGTTTGATTTCATCACTTGTACTCCACATAAAACCTTCCATCCTACTTGGGGAGATTCAGGGGATCCTATCTGGGTTATTTGACCCAAACACAAAAATAAAACCCATGACTGGAAAAAAAAATTAGGTCAGATCATTTGAGTGCCTCTCTCAGCCATTTGCATTTTTTTTTTGGAATGATAGAGCCCTATTTGCTTTCAACATCCACCAATATCATCTCGACCCCATAATCAAAACGCTTCAACTATAACACTTTTTTTTTTTCCGAGCATTCCGAGGGACGACAGTTAAACAACACTATTTTTTTAAAATTATAGATGTGCTGGTCGTGCATGGTTTACTATGATACATGACAAGTTTGGATATTTATCACACATGCGCACAAAAGCAGAAAACTCAAATGTCAAAATTAGCACGAGCCCAAACTTTTGTGTAACAGTTTACAAAATCCACATGAGATTTTTACAGCTGGCATTCTCCTACCTTTGACTAACAGAAGTCATTTTAATCACATTTTCTGTACCGTCTCAGATTTTCTCTTCAAGATTTTGTGAGAAATAACATAACAGAAGGCCAATGTTTGTTTTTGATGTGATCTCAACCAAACCTAATCCGGCTCGCCAGAAATGTGGAAATATGAATCCGCTTGCCAACTTCCGTTGCTTCACCGTGAAAGCTCATCCAGTTTGGCAGAAGCGGCCACTTGAATATGAGTGAAGCGGGTAGAGCGGTGGAAACAAGTGATTGAAACATAAATAAATAAAATAATACATCTCTTACTATGAGAAGAAAAAAAAAAAGAAAACGACAGCTGGAATTGGTTGCGCCGACAGGTCACAATTGAGAGGGTCACATGGCTACAGATGAAAAGGTTCAGCGGGAAGTCATTTTGGAAATTCTCCAATCAGGCAGTCGGTCAGACAAAAAAAAAAAAATCATAAAAAGACAGGTTTACGACGCAATCTGCTCACCAGGAGTAGTCGGTATTCACCATCACTGTCTATCATGATGAGACAAAGAACAAACAAACTGCATGCGACTGCATATATTTCTCGATTTGTTCAGTTGAGTTGCGTTTGGCCGTGTCACTCGGTGTTGGGGCAGGATTTATTCAGAGATTACAGAAAAAAAAAATGCTTTGCGATCCAACTTTGTTCTTGCTTGAAGAGCGATATTAAAATACACAAAACACAATTCCCATCAGACACGTCACGCTGAAACGAGCTTTGTTATTGTGTGGAGCAGGAGAAAACCCACGGTGCGAAACATCCACACTACGGATCTTCAATTCACCCAGCAGAAAGGGAAACTTTGTTTGTTTGGGGGTTCGGAGCTCTCATTGTGATCTTGAACCACCAAAACCTTCATACTGACAAGAGGCCGTGCTGCAACTCCACAATGGCAACACAAGACTGAAAAAGGGACACGGTGTCAACTCTCCATAGGGAGGAAGCGTTGAATAATTGATATTGCTGGAGGTGCAAAGACACTCGGCTCCAGAAGGAATTTTGGGAATCGGACATGACTGTTGACATGCGTGAGGTGCACCAATGCAGCACCATCAATCGTAGACGCGATTTAAAAAAAAAAAGGGGGGGAAAAAAGGAGTATAAGGACCACGCTGAACACAAAAACGTAGCAAAAATGATCCAAGTGAATAGTAAACGTCATGAAAATCGTCTTATTTTTTCAAATAATTATGCTTTATTGTTGTAACATTATGAAGTGAGTGTTGACTGTGATTATTTCCTCTCATAGAATCTCAAAATTTTTTTTTGATATTCTTTTTTTTTTCCTCATATTATCATTTCATAATTTATTGTAATTCACGATAATTGGATTTGCTCTCACAGAATTCAAATCTGAATTCAAAGCGTTTTTATGATAAAAATGAGACACTTCAGAATAGCAACGTTTTCATATTTATTGTAGGTTTTGGTTTATTCTCAAAATAGTTTCACTATTCTCATAGTGTCGTTTTTTTTTCTTATTCCTTTGTAATTTAACTTGTTTGTAGTCTGTATATATTAATTTCCTAGTGAAGAGGTACCCCCGTTCCTCACTCCCACTCACATAATCACCCATTTAAAAAACAAAAAAAAAACAGCAGCAGTTTTATGATAGAAAGCAAATTATAAAGTCTGGACAGTGGTGACTCCTAAGGGCTCAAACAATGTTAGTAAGCAGATCTTATTTTATGATCAAAAATTAAATCCTCCCCCAGCCCCATAACATCAGATGGAGGGGGGCGGGGCGAGTTGTCAACAATGTTTACAGGTTTGTATCGCATCCGTCTGTACAGTATGTGAATCGTTTTCACTTTTAGCTTTAGCACGACAAAAAAAAAAAGATTTTGGCGGGGGGGGGTTGCTCCTGCGATGTTCTTAATACGGATTGTCAGCGAACAAAAATGCTACATTTAATTTCTGTGAGTATATGCAGTAACAGAGCTGCCCCCCCCCAAAAAAAACACCAGTTATTGACCCCCCTGCCTTTTCCAGAGTCGAGGGATTTCCCCTGACTGCAGCAGAATCGATAAGCTATTTGTGGGACGATTACGATCCACTAGCAAGCTAATCTTTTTTTTTTTTTTCCCCAAGAACGAACTGATTAGCTCATTTTGCGTGCTCACCGTGTACTCGAAACAAAGATATACAAGATTCAATTTGATATATATATTTTTTTTATGTCCAGACCGGTTTGTGGTATTTATGCATATGTGTATATGAATACAAATGGCCCTGAAACTGCATTTCCACGTGGCTAGTCGAGCATATTTTCTATGGTAGAAGCCCATCTCCCGCTATTGTTTGCACAGTAGCTTGGAATATGCACCGTGATGCCCTGTTGTCCTCTTACCATTTACTGACTTTGAATTCTGTGAAATGAAGTTATGAGAAAGATGTATTTTGGTACAACTCGACTATTGTTACAAAAAGACATAGCAGATGTTTAGTCACAAAATATATTACCATAGTGTTGCTAAGAATGAACTTTTTTTTTTTGTTTGTTTTCCTTTTTACAGGGGTGGGGGGGGGATCTTTTTGTTGTTGATTTGTCATCCAACAATATATTATTATTGTTCTATATCCGACTTTCTTACGTGGCAATAAAAAGATGACTTCTGCAAAAATGATTTCTATTTGCCTTTTTTTTGTTCCTTTGACTTTACAACTTCACCAGAGACATGAACGACCGGGTAGGGGTCTCCAACTGCCCAATTCACGATGCAGATCTGCACTTGGCCATGTCGAGAATCTAACGCGCGACTAGCACGCTGCATTCAAAGACAGTGAGCGCAGCAGTTTTGATTGGCCATGATTAAATTTGGCCGTGACCACTCGCACAGCAGCGAAGCCCTCCCTCTCTCAGATTTGCCGGCATGCGCTTGTCTGCAAAATTACTAACACCTGGTCTGAGCGGACTGCACTTATGTCGCACGAGATTTATCTCTTTCACAGAAATAGAGCCGAATCAGGAAAACAAACCGTGTTCATTTTGCATGGTTGTTGTTTTTGCTGAAGTGGAGACGAACTGCACTGCATCACACTAACACTGCCCATCACATATACAAATGTATTTATGTACATCTTATTTGACATTTGAAAGTAACCAAAGTAATTAATTAAAATTCAGCCTTTGGCCCTCATAAGAATCAAATTGGTCGGTAACTGGATCTACACGAACACTCGACACAACCAGTTGCGGCTCTGTCTGCGCGAGGCAACGGTGCGATTCCTAATTGGCTCTCATTCCGTTTCATGTCGCAATCCCCAAGTTCGTGTCTCTGCCAACCTTGGTGTTGATTACACGAGGATTCGCTTTGATCAGAAATATCGAACATGTTTTGAAGGAGTTCTGACTCGCAGCGGAAAACGACAGGGAGGGGCGGATTAGGCCTGATTGTCAGTTCGCGTGCGTGGACTCCCCTTTTAGATCCTTCCAATTTTCTGCATTGTCACGGTCCTCTTCCTCAAAGTAATTACATAATGTTCAGTAGAATATCTTGAAGTGAATCTATCATTATATTCGCAAATCTTGCTGTATTTAATTCAGGTACAGCCGTTGACAAAAATATTGCGCAAAGCCCTGCTAAATTGGACACGACAGAGCAAAACATTGAACACGACATTGGAAGTGTTCCAATACAGTATTTGAAGTGCAGGTCCTCTCTCTCACGTTTTCCCGTGTTGCTTTGCGCCATGCGAGCAAATCCAATAGCCAGCGAGAGTTGAACTATCTTTGAACCTAACCGAGAACATCCCCGCCACGCTCAATCGCAGCCACTGTTTTGGTTATAAATTGTTTTACTCTTACCTTGAAGTGAACCATGCAAGGTATTAAAAAAAAAGGAGAGAGAGAGGAAGAAAATACTAAAAGCTATCTTAACTGTACTCCAATTGTACCTTCAGGGCCAAGAAAAGCGTCACAGTGGACACATGCATTTGCACATTGTGCATTGATGCTATTTACGCACATTGCCAGTACTTTTGGCAATGAGGAAATAATACACAGGACTGAAATCAAGATCTGTTCGACCTCCCCAAAAAATTCTGGATTATGGAGTGGTCCTCTCGTTTCGTCATCTACACCGGCACAACCTCCCCTCAAAATGTCTCAGTGTGTGTGTGTGTGTGTGTGTGTGTGTGTGTGTGTGTGTGTCATGCCCCTCCTCCTCCGAGTTAATCATTTCATTCTGTAATCGTAAAATAGCAAAATATTTCCATGACTGCTGAGGAATTACATTTTACAGCGCCACACATGAATTTTAAAGTGAGATGGCACCCGACTTCTCACACACACACACACACACACACACACACACACACACACACACACACACACACACACACACACACACACACACACCACGTGATATTTTCATGGCCCAGGGCCCCCATATCAGGATTTGCAAAAATGAACCATTTCCGTAGTAGCTCCAGACGAGGAGGAGTCAGACGCTTCTTATCTGTGAAGGAAAAGTGATGTACAGCCAAGAGGGGAAACCTTCACAGTGACGCGGGGACACACTTTGTCGTCTCGTACCACAGTTTGTTTGAACCGCACATCCAAAGGAGCGCTTTGTTCTAACAGTCGGAATATACGGTCTCATTCCTCGTCCTGTTTGGATCGCAGTTTTATTTATTCCACAGAGCAATTTCGTTTTATTTGCAAGTTCTGCTCGTTTGTGTTACAGCCTGCATTGCTGTTTTGGATCCCAAATCTTGCGCAAAGCAATTATTTAATACTGAAATGGGACTTGCACACGAATGGATAAAAGATGAGAATAGCAATTTGAGTCAAGTAGTCTACAGAATAAGAGTAAGTTAACTGTACTATAATGAATGGCATAAAATGAAACTTTTTTTTTTCTTTTTAAAAACATCAGTCACTGAAAATCAGGCAATTGCTGAAAGAGGAATTTGCTGATTTCAAATTAGACAAGGAAAAAAAAAAGGCGCGGACAAAGAAGGCTCTCAGAGTTAAAAGGGATAAAAAAAAGTGAATGAAACATTTTCTAGAGTGGGAAAAGGTCATGTGCAAAATCTAATATTTAAGCAGAAGAATGCTCAGTTTTCTGACACTGTATTGACATTTTAATACTAAAACGATGATTCTTTGATGGTCAGTCCATGGTGTTCCACACCCCTCAGTCACTGTCAGCTCTGACACTGTTGAGAACAAGCAGCATTAAATAAATAAGATAGATAGATAGTAATAATGGATGGCCGGATAACACTAAGAAACATCCTGCCATTAACTGGCAGCTAGCTAGTTGCACCTCGCCTCTCGTCCGACGGTGACGGCAGGCCAAAGTGACGCCCAAATCCATCCATCCATTTTCCGACCCACTTATCCTCACAAGGGTCGCGGGGCGTGCTGGAGCCTATCCCGGCTGTCGGCGGGGGACACCCTGAACCGGTTGCCAGCCAATCGCAGGGCACACAGAGATGAACAACCATCCGCACTCACAATCACACCAAGGGACAATTTAACCTGTCGTGCATGTTTATGGAATGTGGGAGGAAATTGGAATACCCGGAGAAAACCCACACAGGCACAGGGAGAACATGCATACTCCACACAGGAAAGCCGGAGCCGGAATCGAACCCTGCACCTCT